GGCCGCGGGCCGTGATTGGCCCCCGGGCCGGACTTTGGACATGCCTGCTGTATATGATAAGAATTGTGTTTTTAGTGCTCTGAACCAAATTAAACCTAACACTTCTAAGTGTTTCTGTAACACTAGCATTTTAGTTTGGCCCTCAAAATCTTTAAGTCAGAATAAATTCGGTTTTTTTTAATAAAAAACCGAAAATATCAGATTGTCTTCAAATATAGAAATTGTATTGCTTCGTGCTGCCGCTGGGGGGCGACAACGAGCTGGTGCTGAGTATGGAGGAGGGTTGACACTAAAATAAATCAGGCCAACATTAATTTTTTTTTTCTTATTCTAAAAAAAAAAAAAAAAAAAAAACAACGTTTTTGTTTCGTTTCGCGTGTGTGTGCGCGCGGAGGTCGAAGATGTGCGGCAGAAAGAGAGAAAAATTTCGGTGGAAACCGACACATGTGACCAGCTGTGGTGGGACCGGCTCGTGGCCCCGGAGGAGGAGGAGGAAGTGTTCCTCCCACTTTTCTGGCGGAATGACTCGGCGGACGGGCTGCTCGAATGCAGCTTTCTGGAATTAAAAGTTGAACGAAGCCTCACTTTTTCCGGCCTGTGGACTTTTTCTTAGGAAGGAGTTCAAACAGGCCTTTTTGTGAAGGTAAGCGCGCGACAGAAGCTTCCGGCCCGCGTGCGCCCGCCGCCGAGGCGTTTATCCGATTCCTGACGTCAGCAATTCTGACTGATACCTTTCAGTTTTTAGGGGGGTAATGTTCCTCCAAAGCACCAGAAATGTGACGTGTAAATATAGGACTAAAAATTCTACTTCAACGTAATTTCATTCAGTACCAAAAAATGTTATTATTATTATTATTATGATAGTTATTAATATGATTATTTGTCGTGTAGTTTCTCTAAAAATGTCATTTCTTGTGTTTTGCGTGTGATTTATTCTTCTTAATGAAACTGAACTTCCACCTGGGTCACGTGCTCAGTTCTCCAAACTCTTTGTTGACATGGACTTTGCCAGCTGTCACTAAGGCTTTTAACTAAATGACAGTTATTTAACCCATTTTCTTTAGCTTTGTCAGTGTTTTTTTTCTTACTTCCAACTTCTCTTTTGTCCTAAAGTCTGCGGGTTGTGATTTCTCTCAGAAAAAAAACCCCCACTTCTCCTGTGAAATTGGTGGCATTCGCCGTTCAGAACGTCCATTAAGCCTCACAGACTTCCCTGTTGAACCTCGTGGACGGTGTCCAAATCCATTTTTTAGGCTGTAAATTCAAAGTCGCGGTGCAGCGCTTGGCATGAAGGAGTAGTTTAAAGCTTCACGTAAATGAGGTGAAGGGACATCGTGATGTAGCTGGATGAGGCTGGATGTGTTTTTCAGAGCGGGGCGATGGTTCAGCCGGGGCCCAGTGGCAGCACGGCGGGGGCTCCGGACCCCCCCGACGGGACGGAGAAGATAAAATCCCTGAGGCACTTCCCCCCCTACGGCAGCATCAACGGAGACACCTGCCCGACGTGCCGGGGCACCGGGCGGATCCCCAGAGGTCAGTCACTCATCCCCGTTTCTCAGTCGGCCGCAGGGAAGTGAGTCCAGATAAAAAAAGAAGCACTGTTCGCGCTCATAACGACGCCTTTTTCTCCTGCTTCTCCTTCTTCTTCTCAGGTCAGGAGGCCCAGCTTGTTGCCGTGATACCGTGTAACGACGTCAGGCTGAAGCCCAGACGCACGTAAGCAGCAGCAGCCGCCGTGAGGTCCGCCGTGAGGTCCGGCGTGGCTTTCAGAGCCGCGGCCTCACCCCGGCCTGTGCCGTTTTTCAGGAAGCTGTACGTGTTCGTGTCCATGGCCATGTGTCTCCTGGTCTGCTGCCTCATCCTCTTCTTCTTCTTCCCGCGGAGCGTCCGCCTCACGCCGGTGTCGGTGCAGTCGGTCACCGTCTACTTCACCAACGACACGGTGGAGATGGACGTGGTGGTAAGTGCCTCCCCCCCCTCCAAAAAAGAGGGTTTATACGCTCACTTCCTGCAGGCTTTAGACGTTCCTGATTCGGATCAATGCAGACTGTGCAGAACTGGCTTAAAAAGAGCTCCTTAATCTGACTTGTGTGTGTAAAGAAGCAGAGAAACATCTCAAACATGCTGTACGGCAGCCCTTGAGGACCACTTTTAGGTGTTTTTAAGCTTTTATTTTGCACTATTTGAACACAAAGTGCCTCTGAACTTGCCTGCTGGTGTCTCTGTGTGCTCTGATGTCCTGAGCCCATCTGCATGCAGCTCCCTGATAACATTGAAAATTGAATATTGAGCCAAAAGGGGGTGCGAAGACGACGCAAAGCCAGAAATAACCATAAACTAAGACGGGGAGGAGTTAGGGAAGTCCTGAGCAGCCCCCTCTGTTGCTGCCTAACCCCAGCTGTGGAAGTTCCCCCTGATTTTAGACTCAAAGTTGGCTACAATGTCGTGTCCCAGCCGGATAGAAACCCTGCTGGTGAGCTTTGGCTTTTTATTCACCGCCATGTGCTGCAGAGCAGGAAAAGGAAACCAAACTCTAAGTTTCATTTCTGCGGTTTTTCACGATGTTTCCTCAAGTTGTTCGGCCACCTACGTCCATTGGTTAGCACGCAGAGAGCAGGAAATGGGCTTTATGCGATGCAAAGTGTGGTTCTGAGGCATTTTGTAAAACAGGATTTTCTGGGAGAAACGGTCTGACAGACGAGAGTTGAATGAGCCCTTTTGTTTAAAGGAAGAACAAACAGCCGAGGAGACGAGCTGCCCCAGAATTCAGATCAGTGGCCTTTGTCCTCCAACCTGCCCAGTTTAGCTGGACAGTTCTTTGGGAATCAGCCCTCGAAAATCCTGTTTTCTCTCAGTCAGAGAAAGAAATTGGATAGAATGATGTGTCTATTTCTTATCTTGGTTATCCAATACGTGGAGACACAACCCTGGCACATCCTTGAGTTAGGGGCCTTTTTTCTGCTTAAATGTCTCATAGATTAAAAGTTAAAAAACAAACAACTAATTGACTGAAGATTAGGTCATGTAGAGGCTCATGTTCAGAGATAAATACGGAAAGAGACTTTTTATCGAAAGCCTGGAGACATATTTTCAAAGACTATTTTAAGAAAAAACAAATGCCATGAATTGCATTTGCATTTCCTGCTCATAGCTGGGCGCTCGTGCACGTTGGCCAGCATTTTCATATAGAGCTAGCACTTTTAAATCTGTAAACGCCTTCAGTGGGACTCTGAAAATGACAAAACCAGCATCCTGAATGCAGCTATAGGTTTTTATACATATATGAAAATATGATTTGGATCATTTCAGTGGGGGAGAACAGCTCTGTAATAAGAGGCTCCTCTGGATTCTGTCATTCTTTTAATGATCCCATAAATCGAAGACAGTTAAATCCTCACAGTAATTAAAGGTTACAGCTTCGTGTTAACTCAGGCCTTCTGTTCCACTGCCTATTTACCGTATGCGTCAAAACTGCCTACAAAGAGCCTTAGATTGCGTTCACATGACAGAGGATGGGCGCGTGGCGCCGTTATATAGCGGTCAAAGTACCCAGAAACCTTTTTAGTGGTGCAAAGATGACCTGACCGGGCTGTTTCTCTCTTTTCCAGAACCTCATCAACATCACCAACGAGAACTTTGTCCCCGTCCAGATAGTGGACTTCACCATGCAGGGGCTGGTGACCGACACCATTGTGGGCAAGACCAAGCTGACCGACATGAGCTCCATCCCGGCACGCTCGCAGAAGTCGGTGAGTTCCACCGGGGAAGAAAAACCGGCCGGCGGAGCCTTCGTCCAGCAGTGTCTGACTTTTTCTTGACCCTCCGCAGTACACCATCCAAATAGATCTTCCCATCAAGGACAAAGGCCTAAAGTGAGGCACGCCCTCTTTGTTTTCCGCCGGTTTGGCGGGGACAACTCCACCTCAGCGTGTTTTTTTTTGTCTCTTTCAGCTCCTACTGCAAGTCCTCCACCATCAAGATCCACACCTTGTTTCTGCAGCTGCAGTAAGTCTCACCGCAGCCACAGAACAGCCAGATCTCAGAGACTCTCACCCAGTCACACCCCCTCCCCCCCCCCCCCCAAAAAAAACATTTTTTTTTTTTTTTTTTTTGCTTTCAGAGGACCTAAACCGCTGTCGGCCCTGTCAGTTTTCATTCGTCCCCTGGGCCCCCTTCAAGTAGTCGCTTCTGCTTTTCAGCCAGCTGCTTTTCCAACCTCAGAGTGGAGCTGTAGCTGTTTTCTTCTGTTTTTTTTTCTCTTCCAGGATGACGATGAACATCTCTTATCTCTCTCACACGGAGCAGCTGTCTCTGGACACCTTCGAGTACATCGACTGCGGCACCAACTCGACCATCCCACATCCTGTGAGATGATTCACGTTAAGAGCAGCAAAGCGGCACTTTGATCGTGAGTGAATGAGAAATCCTGGCGTTCTCGCCCCCTGACGTGGCCCCGGCTGGGCCCTGGGACCCCAATCACTTACTAAAATGTTATAAATCAACTGTAGTCTTCCTGTATAGCTGTTTGTTCTCTTTTCTTAGTTTGTAAATATGTCGCACAGCCCTCGAGCCTCATATGAAAACTGTAAAAATGTGACCTTTGATGATCTTGTCATTTGCACTTTATTAAACTAATATTTGTGGCTCCATGGCATTGTTGTTTGCGAGATACCTTCCAGAAGTCTGAAGGACTTTTTACCATCATCTCTCAGAGTGTGCTTGCCCATTTGAAGGCCATCTTAGGCAGGATGACCAGCTTTTACTATCAGGGAGGACCATGTGTGTTCTCAGCCTTTAATAATAGTAATAATAATATGATTAAATTAGAGGTGGTGGAGAAAAATACTCAGAAACATGAGTGAATTGTTGTTTTAAAATGAACTGAACTTGTCTCTGGATTGATTTTGGCACACCATTGTGGTTTTCACACCAGGGAAATGTCTAAATAAACTAAAAAGGGAACAGAGAGTATTTCAGCCCCTCGTCACTGAACAGTATTGTGCATCTTTCCCATGAGAAACCTCCCTTGTCTATAAAGTTAGATTCAAAGCCCGTTAAGTCTGCTAAATTTTAACCAGCTAAATGCTTTTTCAGACCTTAATTCGCCAAATAAAACCCTCTGCTGAACTAGATGCCACCTGTTGGATGTGTGTCTAACCTGCATCTGTCAGTTTTATACCAAAAAGATGCTCGAACCAAACAGAAAATGCAGGTGCAGTTACTATTTTTTGCGACTTTACTGGGGGAAGATAAGTAAAGTATTCTGTTCACTCCAGTTGGCCACAGTGTGGAGCCAAAACATCACTACAGGATGGCCCAGCAACAACAAACAACTCTGTTTAAACACCTAAAAAAGATGCTTTTGATTAAAGAAAATCATGATAAATATTTAATCTAACCCAGTACATATTTACCACCTATAAAACTATGATTTGGACAGATATTTAATGTTATCTACATGGTCAAAATCAGTGCAAAACCATCATAATAGTCCAATTAACTCATTTTGTACCTTTTTGGGTTGGAGCTGTTTAACCAAAGTGGGACTGTGTGTCTTTGTCATCCCACAGAAACGTGACTTAGCGCCCATGGGACAAAATCTGTTCAAAACTATTTCAAAAGCACCTTTAAACTTTAATGCTAATGCACGTTGATACCACGGACACGTTAAAAGGGTAAGACTAAATTAACGACGAATGCTCAGTGCAGTTGAAAGCCAAAGAGCGAAGATGTCGTCAGCTGTGATCCGCAGGGAGTCACTTTGAGTTAACAGTGAAAGGCACAATCACCTTTACTAAATAATGATCAGAGCAGTTGTTGAGGATTTGAGAGGAGTCAGGAAACGTTATAGAAAAAGAAAAAATAATCTAAAAATGGCTCTTTTAGCTAATTACAGGTAAACCCAACATCCAAACAAAATTCCATAATTAAACATCATTAATAAATTAACTTTGAGTCAGTCCAGGACTCACAGAGGCTCTGGGTTAGTTATGTTGTAATAAATTCCCCTCCCTCTACCCTTTAGAGACACTGAAAACAGGTATAAAAATGTTTTTTCCCCCCAATTTGGTCTCGCTTTACTTCTATTTTTGCTTTGAATGTCAGTGAATCAGCTCATCATCAGCAGATGAGGGCATATATTCCGTTTGCCCGTGATATCCCCACGTGGGAGGATGTGAAAGTTAAACCTGAAAGTGTCAGACCAGTAATCGGCCTTAAACGCAACACTAGGCTGTCGTAAACAGCGTTTCCACGGCTCCTCCCGGGGGCCACGTCTCAGCCGGGGCTGCGGTTCTCCGCGCGGCCTGCAGGGGGCGCAGGGGAGCCCTTCCAGGTGCCCGTGACGTCACCGGGGCTGGAGGTGCTGTTGGCCGGAGCTCGCGCAGGAATCCTCAGAGCTTCAGCTGGAGGAGACCCGCGCGGAGGAGGACGCCGTTTGCTCTCCGCTATGGATGTGTCCGCCGCCTGCGGGTGACTATTTCCCCCGAATTCAAAAAGGTACGTCCATTTCTGAACGCGGGGTCTCCTACTTCTGCTCTTTTGAGTTTTATTTGAACGTTATTTTAACGTTACGCGTCGTTTCAAATGAGTTAACGTGGCTAATTTTCCGTCTTTAACGGTCGCACAAGTTATATAATGAATGTTTGTCCGACCTTAAACAGTCAGCAAAAACAAAACAAGGAGGGGGGTGGGAAGGCTAAGTGGTGGGGGGTTAAAGTAGGTTTATTCTGTTATTTATTTTAAAGCCGGACAAGTTTTTAAAAAAAAATGCTGAGATTAGAAAGATGACGGGGCGTTTTGGCCCACAGACAGTGGCTGCCACCCGTTTGCTTTTCGCCCATTTCTGGGCTGCATTACGCCCGTGGCCTGTCCGAAGGCAGCTGCCCGATGGCTATCATGTCAACAACAACCGGATTAGAGCTGCTGCAGTGCACGGTGAGCTGCAGACCCCTCTGCGTATCCAAATCCATCAGCCTCAGGAGCAGCCTGTCAGGCCCGGCCGCCTGGAGGGGGATTAGGGCCCGGCAAACCTAAACCCACACACCCAATTAAGAGAATGGTGTGTCCAGTCCACCGGTGTGGATGTTGTTGTGCTGATAGGCGACTGTAACTGTGAGCGTGCGTTCCTTAGGCGGCCCCCTGTTAACCCGGCCTCTGTGTGTGCTCTGATAAAGTCTGCAGCCTCGTCTGATACCCGGGAGCAAATGCCAGCCCGCTGAGAAGAGGATTTCAATCGGGAATTTGTCACCTGGTCCCGTTGGGTGTGGTGTAAACTGCCGGCTGGAGCCATGGGGAACCAGCTGACCGACATGGCCCCCAACACGTCCTTCCTGCCGGGCTTCCAGAGCCTGCACGTGGTGGTGATCGGCCTGGACTCGGCCGGGAAGACCTCCCTGCTCTACAGGCTCAAGCTGAAGGAGTTTGTGAAGACCATCCCCACCAAGGGCTTCAACATGGAGAAGATCAAGGTGCCGGTGGGCGCGTCCCGGGCCATAAACTTCCAGGTGTGGGACGTGGGCGGTCAGGAGAAGCTGCGCCCGCTGTGGAAGTCGTACACGCGGCGGACGGACGGCATCGTGTTCGTGGTGGACTCGGCCGAGCCGGAGCGCATGGAGGAGGCCCGGGTGGAGCTGCACAAGATCACGCGCACCTCGGAGAACCAGGGCGTGCCCGTGCTGATCCTGGCCAACAAGCAGGACCTGGGCGCCGCCGCCTCGGCCGCCGAGGTGGAGAAGCTGCTGGCCGCGCACGAGCTGAGCGCGGGCACGCTGCGCCACGTGCAGAGCTGCAGCGCCGTGGACGGCCAGGGCCTGCAGCCCGGCCTGGAGAAGCTCTACGACATGATCCTCAAGAGGAAGAAGATGGTGAAGCACAACCGGATCAGGAAGAGATGAGCTCCCGGCTCGGGCCGCCCACGGAAAGCCGGGAGATTTGCCCAGCTGGTCGGGACACTTCCCCTCCGGGCGGGGAGAGCGATCCGTGCCAACAAACACTTAGAGGTGGCGTCCCGCTCGGCGGGATCGGATCCGCTCCTAAAGCTGAGGACGCCGCCGAGCAGCTGCCTCCGGAACGCTTCACATCACCTGTAGATTTAAAGGAGACAATGCTAGCAGTTAGCCGCCACTAAGTGCTGATCCACTCAAGACTTATGGAGGAATTTCTGCAGGACTCGTAGAGCCGACACGTGTATCACCATGCTGGGTTTTTTTTGTTTGTTTTTCGGAGGGGGAAAACACCTTTTGGAAAAAAAATAGCATCCCCTTTTTCTCTCACAGGCTGCTCAGATTCTGTCACTCTGAGCGGCTGCTTTTGTTCCACCATGTTTCCCAAAAACATTTACTGGATGTGTCTGTGCTGACGGGGGGATTTCTTTTGTTTTTTGTAAGTGACGTGAACTGAAACTGTGTCCCGAGCCCATGGAGGACAGATGCTGTTTAGTTTCACTTTGAGGGGAGAGCCGTTTGAAACTCCTGCTCCAGCCACAGATGTTTAGTTTCAGTTGGTCGCGTTAAAGTGTTTGTACAGATTGTACATTTTGTAAATTTGGAGACTTAATAAATCTGAGCACTGTACAGAAAGTTTGACGCCGTCTGAATGATTCAAACGCTCCCCGACGGGGGCCCAGAAAAAGCTCAAAGTCGTGTGCTCACACTGTTGTGGGGGGTGCAGTTTCTCTGCTCCTCCGCCATTTTTTTGGTGGTTTATCTGACTTTTCTGGTCCGTGACTGGACTGTTTTGGCTCGGGGCCGCTTTATGTAACAGGCAGCACACAGCTGAGCTCACTGAAAGAAAAGCTGCTGTTGCTGCCCTTAAAACAGGAAAGCGCCACGATGCCAGTTTTTTTTTATTTATTTTTTTTAAAACAGCTAAGCGAGTGGACCTAAAGCATTTTTTATCTAAGCGTGGCGTTTGCTCACAGCCGGATCAGCAAACGAGGCCGGAGGAGAGGAGGATGTCCCTCCCTTCCCCCCCCTTCTCAGGCCCAACAATCCGTTTAGCTGGATTCCCACCTTCTGTTGTCTGCCAACTGCTGACGGTGTAATTGCATCAATTAGTGGCGGATAGCGGATCAGAGGCCCCGTGGAGGCTGCTGTGATGGTGGAGGCCGAGCCTCCTTCAGGCCAAAGCCGTCGCACAGCCGCAGCGCTCCCGCTGCTTCAGATCCAGGCCCGGACTCCTTTTCGGGTCCCGTGGGCGTCTAGTCTCTCGGTAATGAGGCCGCCTCGCCTCTTACTGACTAGGGTGGGGGGGTAAATTATCATACCTGAGTCATAACCACAAAGACGAGGCTCCACATGCGAGTAATCTCACCCTGCAGGTCACTCTCCATTTACAGCTTTGTGTTGTGGAGGACTGGCTGCATAACATGTGCTGCATCCGCCTCCCAGAGGAAAAGTAACCAGACAACCACCAACACTCACAGGATGGGGGGGGGGGGCGAAGACAGAGAGGCATTCATGGAACAAAAACAACAGTTAGTCGTGAGTTTCAGGTTTTAAAAGGCTAGTAAAGTCGCCAGGCGTTAGATCAGTGACCCACCCGGTCGTCTCGTGGGTCGTCATAGATTCTAATGGGGGGGGGGGGGGGG